GATGTGTTCCACACAGAGATGCAGAAATGTAGATCAATCACAAATTTCTGCACCTGTCCACAAATATGGACACATTCAGACACTCACTACAACCCTCTTTGCCAATGGGATCTCGCCCTTAGGAAGTTGCCAAAGGAAGGTACTGGTTCTCGAATCGGTCAGGTCACCCCGCCAAATTGAATATGGTGATGGCAGTGATGGGTGATGGTCCTGCAGTGGGTCATCCGTCTAGCATTCGACCTCTACGACAACCTGGGCAGGGAAAAAAGATTCGACCTCTAGAAAATCTTTTTTCCTCGTGCTCATCCCGACTTCTCTACAGCAGAGAAGTCGGGATGAGCACGAGGAAAAAACATTTCCTAGCGCAGAGAAGTCGGGATCATGACCTTAGAGCGTGCTCGCACTAGGATGCTTTTGAGTGAACTCTGGACGTAATTGTGATGAACTCTGGATGTAATTGTGCTCAGATACAAGCAAGTGAACTCTGGACGTAATGGAGCTCAGATACATGCAGGTCCGGGTATTCTATTGGGATCAGATACATCCTGAAAACTCTTTAACTGCTACTGTGAGTATGCCCGCAGTTTCCCAAACGAACATATATTGGGTCTCACTCCGCTACTCTCACCCCTCCGTAATTGTCGAGAGTCTTTGGAGAGCTGTCAGACTCTCCGAAAGCACCGAAAAGAGCGCAGAAAGACTGCTAGAGGTTCCCGTTTACCCGCCCAGACTTCGGGCCGACTCTGCAAAAACAGGCGCTGATTGGCCTCTCTGCTGAGGCCTCTCCAAATAGTACTGGCTGTGGCAGGCAGGGAACTCTCCGGGCTTGGAGAGTGGCCTTTTTTTTTTTTTTTTTTTTTCCCAAAAATTTGGACCATTTCTCGATTTATGCGTGTCATCCTTGCTTGCACACGGGCCATCCTAATCTTCTCTGTATCGTTCCAATTTTAACGGATGTCCCGAAGGACGGAGAGTGAGTGCCTTTCAAGATCATTGTATTCTGACAGCTCTGCATCAGTTTTTCACGGCCCAAATTGGAGAGTAAGTGGAGCTATGCCAAACTCTCCAAAGTTGGAGACTGGAGAGTTACTGTAGTGGCGTCGCTGGAAGAAGAAGGCAGTGGAGAGAGTTTGCAAGGATATGCGATGGCCTAGTAGATGGGTGGATATTACGCGTCCTACTAGTGAGGGGGCTAGCTAGTAGGATAGGAATAGGGCACAGCTAAGTCTTGCCGGAATGGGGTAAAGAGGTTTTTGAGGAGGTTCAATGAGCAGTTGGTCAAAGGTCCGTAGTATACGCCAGGTTCTTAAAAATTCCTTAAAGTTTTCTGAAAAAAAAAAGAAGACATGTGCAATCAAAAAAGAGAGTTACCGAAGTCTTCTTGAGAGTAGAATGGAAAGACGCTGGACCCGGTTTCCAGCATGGTTCATTGGTGACTTCCGTGTAGAGAATTGTGAGGTCCCCGGCCTCAAACTTTCATTGAATGTAAAGTTACAACTTAAAAAAAAAAAAAAAAAAGAAAGAAAGAAAGAAAGAAAGAGAGAGAGAGAGTTACTGTAGTGGAGCGTGCTGTGCCTGAGAGTAGTGGAGCGCGTTGTGCCTGACGTTTCATAAGAGACGACTATGTTTCTAATAGACTTGATTGAATTTCCTGCCTCCGGCACTCATGCCTGAGGGCCTGAGGGCCTGAGGCCAACCTCAGATATAATGAACTCCGGCGGCATTCATGCCTGACGCCAACCTCGGAAAAAAAGATGAACTATGTCTGGCACTCGTGCCTGAGGCCAACCGCAGATAAAATGAGCTACTGCAGATAAAATGATCTACCGCAGATAAAATGAGGTTGGCCTCCTGGACTCATGCCATAGGCCAACCTCATTTTATCTGCGGTAGCTCATTTTATCTGCGGGAAAAAAGATGAACTACGTCTGGCACTCATGCCTTCGGCCAACTGCCTCTGCTCTGGCACTCGTGCCTGAGGCCAACCTCGGGAAAAATGAACTCTGCCTCTCTGGCACTTGTGCCTGAGGCCAACTGCCTCCGGCACTCGCGCCTGACGCCAACCTTGGATGAAATGAACCGACCAGGCTGAGGCAGTCATGCCTGAGGCCTGAGGGCCCGGCCCCACTACTCTCCACATGGCATTGAGCAAAATGAGAGACTGAATCCTCGCCTAGAAATACAACATGGAAAGGTACATTGCCATGTTTGTTGTTCTTTTGTGTAATATGTGGACATTGTGGAGAGAACTGGAGCCAGACCCTGTTAAGCGGTATACCTGCAGAAAACTTGGAAAAGAATCTGGAACTGAGTAAAGCAGCCGGCCTGGAGAAAACAGAATCTGAAAGACTGAAACTGAATAAAAAGCAGCCGGTGCGAGTCCAATACCCAAGGCGCAGCTGGTGCTTGAGTCCAATAGCCAAGGCTTGACAATGTGCTCCGCCGGGGCACTTCAGGGAATTCCCAACCTTAAACCACCTGTACCTCCTAAATGTGCTCCGCGTTAACGGGCGTCGCTTTTGGGATGAACGGGCCTGGCGCCATTTCCACTTTTGGCTGCCCGTTAATGCGGAGCAGTTTTAGGAGGTACTGGTGGTTTAAAAAGTAAGAACCGCGCTTTTGTACTTCACTAATCTGTGACACTCCACACCCACAAACTTTTAAGTCGTTTCTGTTTTGGAAAAAGAATTGCTGCTCGCGGGGACATTCGCCAGCTTAAACCAGTAGTAACTTACTAGTAAGCGCATACACGCCATAATGATTGAGGGAGTTAGCATAGATGGAGAGGAAGTAACAGAAATAATAAAAGTTTATAAAACAGTACATAATTGAACTTGAAGAGCTCCTCTCCCGATGGCAGAAGGTCGAGAACCAACAACAGACGTACCACTCAAAGAAAGACATCACACAAGCAATCAATCAATTCTCAGGGGACTGGCTGGGTAGCGAAAAAGGGGGCTGGATGGCCGCCTATATCCGATGGGACCCCAGATGAATGCCAAACAGCGAGGGGTGCTGTCGGCCAGAACTTAAATGCACGAGTAGCAACCCAAAAGATGAAGTTGCTGAGGTAAATGTCGCATCCATAATGAAGTGACAGGTCATTTTGAAACGTCACAACCAGGTCCTGGACGAACAGGTATTGGACACAATTTTCCAGACTGAGTTAGGGTCATGTCTCCTCTATGAAAAGTCATGTCTGTTTGGCAATGAGTCAAAGGCTACAGTCCCAGTCCAGTCATAATCCCACGAGTCAGTCCCGATTCAGATCGGGAGTCCGAAAGACAGGCCCGATGGCCCAAGCAGCAGCAGACCATGGGAAAAGATACTGGGACACACACTTTGCAACAATCGGTACTGGGCAGGAGTCCCAGGCACACTTGGGGCTGAATGCAGGCCACGCCAGACCACCAGTCCAGCACTATAACGGACTGGCCAGCCTCCGATTTGCCAGAGGCTCACTTCGCATGAGAGTGTGGAATTGCCGTGACAGAGGGAAGGCAGCCATAGCTGCGCCAGCGCTAGTTAGTATGTTAGTGGGGATAGTCAATAGGAGATACCAGTGAGTAGTATTCAGAGTAGATCCTCGTGTGATAGGGAGGGAGTGTGCATGCGTGATGAGTGAGAGTAGACCAGGACAAATAGACCAGGAGGGAGAAAGAGAAGAAAGCAGACGAGAGAGGGGGAGGTGTGAGCTATGGTGACACTTACCTATTGAGCGCTGTTGGTGATGTTCGGCAGCTGATGCTGATAAGCGCCAGGTCTGGGAACTCGTGTTGATTGAAGAAGACTTGTAATTCTGGTTGGCGCTGTAGATTTGGACTCACGATGTGCCCTCTCTAATCTGGGTTTGATAACTAATTGAGTTGAGCTTCCTGGTTCGCATTCATCTTCTATGGAGCTTTGTGTGAGACATCGCAATCTGGGAAATCTGTGTGAACGCATGCGATCGGAAGCACTCCAGCAAGTGTTGAACAGTTGGGTTCCTTGCAGAAGTTCCAATGAACGGAAAACCGCAGCCAGAGCGCCAGTTTTTTCCCGTTGTTTATTTTATTTTAGTTTTTTTTTTTTTTTTAGTTTTTTTTGTTTTTTTTTTTTTAATTTTTTAATTTTAATTTTAATTTATTTATTTATTTATTTATTATTTTTATTTTATTTTAAATGACCTGTTGCTCCCATCTTTGATGCACTGGAATGTAGCAGCAAAAGGGAGAAGCCTCAGAGAAGACAAACCATATCGATGACCGAAGCTTTTTTTTTTTTTTTTTTTTTTGAACACACCCGTCAGTGCTAGCAGTGCTGGTACGACCCCGAGCAGGAACACCACCAGGATGAGCTTAGGAGAGACTATTCTATCCACTTCAGAGATTGGACCGCGGTGGGACAGGAATTCCCACTGCGACCGCCCACTGATTTCCCGGACCCTTTCCCGCCCCACCAGCTAGCAATGGTTGACATGCAATGGTACGGAGCAGAGTGAGCAGCGCGGGAACAGAAGTCCTTTTTTCACAGAAAGTTTGGCTTTTCAGAACTCGGAAGTGGGGGGAGCCAGTTAGAGAAAGTAGATATCTGGCGCCCAGTGCAGGGTGAAGAGGCCCCCACCCTCCCAACCTCCTGCTCAGTCAATCCCCTGGACCCCAGGGTAATCAATGCTGGCAGGATCGGGATACATTCTTCTCATGATGATCTGATGCGAATTGAATTCCGTCTATGTAAGGGACGCTGGACCCGGTTTCCAGCAGGTGTAGCTCGATGACGGAAGCTTTACAAAACGTACACTCGAGATTTCATCCTTCGCCGTCCATGATGTTGCTGTCATCTTACACGCGCTCGAAATGCCGCTAAGAGAAAAAAAACTGGGAAGAAGGCGCCACATCGCTGACCAGAAACTTTTTTTTTTTTTTTTTTTTTTTTCGTTTGGGAACAATTGCTCCAATCTATTCGTGGGGAGAAGCACGTGCTGGGAACCGGGCCCAGCGTCCCGTATGAGATTACACAGAACCAGATGCTTCATAAATTCTACACTGCCATGCGGCAGCCAAATTTGAAAGGGAAAAGCCTCGGAGAGGACACACCACATCGCTGACCGAAGCTTTGCAACTCGTACCCTTTCATCCTTCCCGATTTTGCTGCCATCTTTTTTTTTTTTTTTTAATAAAGGGATACATGCCGCTACAGCCTAAAGATATCATCATGCAATTGACCGGTCCTAGGTATTCAGAATCAATATACTATACTTAGTTATTTCCACTGGAGTACGGACTCGGGGTCTATATTTCAACAGTTCAGGGGTGTACGAATTGAGCTCGGCCAGCCAGTTGCTGCCATCTTTCATGCAGTGGAATGCTGTCAAAGAGAAAAAAGCTGCGAAGAGGACGCCAGATCGAGGACCAGAAGCTCACAAATCCTACGCTTTCTCCTCCCTCCTCCATGATGTCATCACCAGAAACAGCCTCGGTCATCGCTCGCCCCCGTCTCGTCCTTAACAGCGGCATAGATGGTGGCGCTTTGACATCTGATTCGACCGATGAAGGAGCTTGGGCCCGTGAAGATATCGACGGTTGAGATTGTTTCTTCGATGCTCCAGACTGTGGTGGTGGCTGCACGTCGCTGCTCTCAGATGGCGGTGCTTTGTTGCCGGGTTGTTCGGATACTGGTNGGCGGTGCTTTGTTGCCGGGTTGTTCGGATACTGGTGGCGGGCGCTGCGACGGTAGAGATTGTTTCTTCGATGCTCCAGACTGTGGTGGTGGCTGGTCGTCGCTGCTCTCAGATGGCGGTGCTTTGTCGCCGGGTTGTTCGGATGCTGGCGGCGGGTGCTGCAGTGCTGGAGTAGCCCTCCTTCCATCAGATGACGCCGCTTCCGCTGACGAAGATGAGTTGCAATCGACTCCGAGGATCGAATGCATCCGCGGATCTTTCGCTGCCGTTGCTGGACACGTCAGTATGTTGCCTGCAAGACTGACGGATGCGTATTTTGGAATTGCATCTGGGAGAAGAAAGCCGGGTATCTCGCCGGAAAGCCGATTGCTGCTCAGATTGAAGATGAATGGCAAACTTGCATCCCATGATGGTTGGGACTTGTCAAATACCCTCAGGTTGCTCAGGCTCTCAGGAATGAGACCACTGAGCTGATTGTCCGACAAATCAATCTGAACAAGGTGGCTGCAGAGCAAGCATCAGATAGGAAAATGCAACAGAGAAAATACCAGTCAGATAAGGCAGAGATAAATGCAGGCACCAGTTGGACAAAAGGGTAGACCAACGAATGGATGTGTTTGTGTGTGTGTGTGGTCATGTTTGCTATACACAACTTCACAGAAAAAGTAAGACTGCACCGGACTGTTTCGTCGGACTTTGTGTGTGTGTGTGTGTGTGTGTGTGTGTGTGTGTGTGTGTGTGTGAGAGAGAGAGAGAGAGAGAGAG